TATATATATATATATATATATATATATATATATATATATATGAAAAAAAGCTAAAATAACCATTAAAGTTTGAGGGGTGTTTTTGGTCATATTATTTTCAAATAGTTCTTATACTTTTTAGCGATGCATGAGGGTGAGAAGTATGGATATCATCTCAATCTAATATATAAAAAATAAAATTGGGATAGTCATACATACTCTCAACCATCTATTATGTGATGACCTTCAACCAGTTATTTAAAAATCAGCGAGTTGCAACGGACTCGCCCGAGTTGGCACCGGAATCGGTTACCTCGTGCCGATTTCAGTGTAAAACCGTGAACCGCCCAGTTCTAGAACGAATCGGCCGGTTCTTCACAGTAAATCGCTTGTATGACATCATACACGGGTGAAAGTCATCCGTATTTCCATGCCGATTCCAGTGTAAAATCGAGAACCGCCCGGTTCTAGAACGAATCAGCCGGTTTTGCACAGTGAGTTGCTTGTATGACATCATACATGGGTTAAAGTCGCCCGTATGACATCACATAACGAGTTCTGCATGGTGAATCGCTTGTATGATGTCATCATATACATGTGAAAGTCGCCCGTATGATGTGAGTCACATAACTGAATCGCTTGTATGACATCGTCATACACAGGTGAAAGTCGCCCGTATGATGTGAGTCACATAATGTAATAATCCTAAAATTTCAAATAAAAAATAAAAATAAAAAAATGAGAGGAAATAAACTTTTATAAGTGATGGTCCATATAAGTATGATGGTCCTTAGGGACCATCACCACTTTTGTTAACCTTTTACCTTGCCTTTAACACATCCCTTGGTTGCGTGGGACTTGAAGCTTTTACGTTGAATATAAATGTTACACCTAGTGCATGATGTGTAACTTAATAAAATATTATAATAAGGCGTCGTAAGAGTTTAAATACGAAAAGCGAGGACTCCCACCGTAGAAAGTTTTGAGATCTTTCTCTCTCTAATCGAAACACTGTGAGCTCCTCTCTCTAGTTGAATTTTTTTCGGAAGTTCCCTCTCAAATATTTTAGGAAAGTGACTTCATTATCTTGAAAAATAATCCGTTCTTTTTAAGATGACATGAAATAATTATTTCTGTTTATTATCATGAATTTTAGGCGCAATAAATTTTATACGCAAACTACCTCATTATTTTGAAAAATAATCTTTTTAAGAAAGTTGTGATATTTTATCTATGTTAGAAATTCTAAATGCTGTAAATTCTTAAAAATAAATTTATTTATTTTTCTTGTCTATTGTTAGAAAATTTTAGATACTATAAATTTATTATAAATAAATGTGATATTTCTGCTATAAGTAAAAGTGTGAGATTTCTTTCTACTGTTTTTTAATATTTAGACATTGTAAATTTCATGTGCAAATGACTGCCTTATTATCTGAAAACTGATATTTTTGTAATTGATTATAGCATTATCTGTGAAATATTTATTTGTGAATTGACATCTCATAAATTGTGATAATTTTGTATTCTTGAAATTCTATAAGAGTTTTTCTATATATATTAAATTGGCAATTATGCTAGAATGTCTTTACGAACTGCTACCTTTCTAAATTTGAGCCCAAAATATTTAATTGGTTATTTTTGCAATGTTATTGAAAGTGACTATTATTAATGGTTTCAGTGAAATTTATATTAATGATTTCAGTGATATGTTGAGTACATGATATTGCTACTTTCGAATGTTTAAAGAGATTTAGAAATATTTTAAGTATGCAAGTGGACTCATCCGGTTCGTCGGTGAGGTATAAGTGGACCTATCCGGGACGTCAGTATGGATTAAGTGGACTCATCCGGTGTGCCGGTGAGGTATAAGTGGACCTGCAGGGATAAAGTGGACCTATTTGGGATGCCGATAGGGATTAAGTGGACACATCAGGATGCTAATAGGGTATATAAGTGACCTACTTGGGATGCCAGTAGGGTATTTTGTGAAATCTTTTGAATTATGCACTGCCGTTAAAATGTTATATGCATTTCAATTATTCGGATTATACTTAATTATGCATTTTTTAAAGTGAAATTGTTAATGTATTTCTGTTAATAGATCTCCTTTTTGGAAATATTGATATCTTTCAACCATGATTATTTTTAGGATTATGATGATCACTTACTAAGAAGCCAAACTCATCAAACTTT